GTACAGTGATGCAGACAAAATAATTACGGACGATGGTGAACTATTTGAGCAATTTATACTGGGGGAACTTCAGCTTGTTAGTATGATACTTGCTATACCCTTAATGTTAGCAGGCCCTATAGGTATTGCCACTGACCTGGCTTTGTTGGGATCAACTCTGGGGTTAGAGATTGACCTTGCATTTAATGGAGACACGGAAAAGGAGAGGCGGGAAATGGCTGTGTGGGCCGAAGTGGACATAATAATGAGTTTACCTGCGATATTTGGGGCGGTGTTTGAAGGGACTGGCTTTTTTAAAAAAAAAATTAAAGGTTTTTCAAGAACTCCACAATACTTACCGACGGAAGTAAGTTACAAGACCCAAGAACTGCCAGCGGTTAAACGTTTGGAGCGTGTAAATGGCAAGCTAGGTTACCCATTAAGTCCCACAAAGCCGCCCAAGCTACCGAGGTTACAGGAAGAAGTGCCTGACACGGTTTTAAGTGGATCAACTTTGAATGTGGAACTGCCTGGAACAACCACCGCTGACCCCGCAAAGGTATCGGAAAGTAAAGTTACTCTGGTTGAAGGATCATTAAAAAGAACATTTCAGCAGCCAAAAGAGAATTTGCCAGGGCCCAGCGTTGTGCAACCAGAGATCCCAGATTTTGCTTCAGGTAACAAAGCGAGTCATTATTATGATCAGCTATATCAAACTGCACCTGAATTGAAGGATTTGCTGCAAAGCAAACCTTGCCCTGCTCTTATAGAAAATGACCTCAAAGCGAATGACCTTACTAACCGTTATAAAGGCAGAGAAGCTGATATTATTACAACATTTATTAAAGAAAAAGAACAGAGTTACTTTGGTGGTAAAATAAAAGGTTATCCTATGCATTACAAAATGTTCCCGAAAGAATATTATGCGTTAGAATATTTAGTAAAAAATGTTTATGGCGAGAGCCCTACATTTAGGCGATTATTTAATTACGCTTGTGACAAAAGCCTTAAATATAAGGAGAATCGCTGGTTGATTGCTCCAGAAGAGCATTTTCGAACAACAGTCACTCCTGAGGATTTAAAAGATGCTTTTGGAGGTGAGCGCGCCATAGGAATGAATCTGGAAGTGCCCCGTCGCCTGTTATACCAAGGCATAAATGATCTCGTTTATTATACAGAAAGGCACGCTACTTTGAATGAGGTGATCAAAGCGCTTCTCATTGATTATCATTCTGAAGATTTATTAGGAACACTTAACGAACTTGTTGTTAACTACGTCAATATTGTTCTCAGAGAAATGAAAGACGACGTTCCATTGAGAGCAAGATATGATTACAGTCTGTCGGAACACCAAAAATCGGCGCTAGACTCTTATAAAAGGCTTGCTGAAAAATACAAATCATTAGGTATACAGTTAAAACACCCAGATGAGTTATTGCTAGCTCACGACCACATAGCTTTTGATGACGGGGACTACTTAGACGTATTTGAAGGCTCGCCAGCAAGGTTTATGTTAAAAGAGACGACGGGGGCTCAAACACCCGAGCTTATTACCAACACCGAAGAATTCAAGTTTCTTGAACCATTGCTGCTAAACGCATATAAAAAAAGTCCCACTTTTAGGCGTTTATATAACTTTGCTTCTGATTATGTAAAACACAGTTACGAGCTTGTGCCCAACTCGGATTTTTTTTGTTGCTATTTTGGTTTTAACTTTAGAGAAATGCGTTTTGTGCCATCTAAAAATCCTAAGCTGGGTTTAAATTTTGATGAAAACAAACTAGGATATTATTTGGATGAAAATCAAGATAAGTATTACCGATTTTCTTTTGAAAGTGCTTATATACATGAAGTAGTTCATGCTCTGACTGAATTGCCTGACCTCACTATGACAGAAAAGTACCCACGTGGGCCCGTAGTTGAATACACCAATATTATACTTTACGAGATGGGTTATGACTATCCCCTAAGGGTAGATTATTACCTAACAAAAACCCCAGAAGAATTAAACTTAAGTGAAGGGGACCGCCCTTCGTCCGTTGAAAGAACGCAGTAATTAAGCATATGTGGCTGGAAAGGTGCCACTTATGTAAAGTTTTAACTGTTAAATGGCAGAAATAGTTTAAAAAAACGTTTTGGAAGCAATTTAGTTGTAATTAATGTGGGCCCCGAAAAAAGTATGGTTGGGGGCAAGTTGCATTTATAATTAAAAAGTTGCTTAGCAGCATTATGACTTTCCATTTTTCTCAATAGCTAGTGTTGCACTTTAAAATGTACATTATATATATTTATTGTGCAGCTTCTTTTTATAATACCACTATTATTTCTAAAAGTGATTATACCACCTAATTTAACACTAATGCACATATATATAATCGTAATTTAAACAGTGAATTAATATAAATTAGTAGTATTAAACTAAAACATACTAACGTGCTAAATTGTTTCAATGTTTTGTATATTTTAATTTAATATAGAATAACTTTCAACAACGTAATGGATTACTTTAAAATTTGTACAAGTTAAACTTCTAGGTACTATCTTCATTTTGTTAATGCTTGATCACAAAATGGTTTAATATTCGAAATGATATAAGCTTGTAAAGTTGAAAGATAATAGAAACAATTTTGCACGTATAAATAATTTAATTTAATAAACAAGGTTTTAATAATCAGTATAACCATTTTCCTAGAATCACTGCTTTAATCCTCTGGAATACTGGCAATCCAGATTGTAGCATTGGTCCGGTGTTATATTTATCCAATCTGATTGTACACGTGTCAAAGCTCGTCTAGTTAGCAGGGGCTGGTTCGTAAGGATTGTGCCGGATTTTCTCTTCAAGATTCCCCAGGCATGCTCAATGGGGTTGAGATCAGGAGATTGCGGAGGCCAGTCTATCACTTGAAAGAACTGCAATTGGAGCCATGATCGCACCGGAGGTGCAGTGTAACATGGGGCACTATCCTGCTGAAAAACCATTTTACCAAGACCAAGGCCGTACCAATCGCATGATCTGGGTAAGTCACTCTTAATTATGTCCAAATACGTGCTTGCGGTTCTGCTCCCTGTCACTTTTTCCGAATATCCGACCTCGTTAGATGATATAAAGGGTCAAATCACAATCGATCCTCCTTCATGCTTATACGTTTGCACCCATTCTGGTGATTAAGTATTCGATTTCCGCCGGATCTCCTCCGACACCACTTAGTACAGCCTAAATTATATTTTGATTAATCTTGGTCTAGCCCGAAAAAATTACTTTTTCCCACTCAGACCAATTTTCGTGCTTCTTCGCAAATTAAAATCTTAGTCGCATGTGAAGGACTGTCAAAGTGGTCGATCTTGAAAAATAGTCTACCCAAAGCTGTTTCTGATATTTGAGGCTTTTCGTTCAGATTCAGTTGCACCCATTGTCACGTGCATGTTTCGAGCTACCTACCAGTGTATTAAGATTTTTGGGCGTCCTGGTTCAAAGGACGATTTGGATCATATTTAGCGTTTATCTGGGGTAATGTTGCCTAACTGGTGCCACATTCTCGAGCGAATCAGTTTCGCCTCGGCCCTTTCGGGTCATATCGGATATGAAAAAAGAAGTCGTTCTTAGGGATATGGTTGTTATCTTTGTTTTTCTCTTGTGATAACATGGAGAAGGCGTATCTAAATATTTCATGTAGTCTTTTTTTAGAGTGCCCCCTCTCTAGCAGACTTCTAAAAAGTTTATCACTACATGATATAAAATTCTCTAGAAAGGAATTTTTGCCTATAATATTTAGAAACTAAACTTCCTACCATACCCTTCATAATTCCTGGAGAATGTGCCGATGGAGGGGTAGGATATAAAAATAAATTTGTATCCTTTTCCGCCGATGTTGTCCATAACATCGTACCATCCGTAGGATTACAGATGTCCAGGAATTGTAGTTTACCATCCTTCAAAGATTCTTTGGTTCATTTCAAACCAGGAATACTATTAAGAATGACCAGCCCCTTTTTTAATAAAAATCTACCATTATTTTAATATCACGAAGGTGTCATCCAGGTATCTTTTATATAAAATTTTTAGAGTATAATTTGGTAGATTAATAGTAAGCAATAAAAAGGGTTGCTATGCTGGGGGCTGCTAGGTCCCCCGAAGGAATTCCGTTTTGTTTGAATGTAGAGTCTATCATCAATTCAAAATAACTAGTACACAGAATTAAACGAAGAGTTTCTACAAACAAATCACCACGAGTTGGTCTATAATGTTCTAGAATATACTTTTTAATTACCTTACACGCTGCCGTGGTAGGGATGGAAGTATATAAGGTTGAATAACTAAAGACAATACTTCATGATGAGCAGAAATAGTGGTACTCTGGAAAGCAGTCTGGATATCATCCGCATTCCTGATATAAGAAGGGACGGCCTCTATTATGGGTAATAAATAATGGTGTAACCATTTAGACAGACCAGTAATAGGTGTGTTAACACATGCTACTAATGGTCCAATGTCTGATGCACGTCTAGGAATTTCTTTTTTGTGCGCTTTGGCCAACCCGTAAAAATAACTGAGTTTAATCTTTTCCATATCATGTAAAGTGATCCTGGTTAGTTTCATAAACTCGTTATTTTTACCCATCGTTCTCCCTACTTGCTGATAAAAACCAAGAATCTTATCTCGACGCATTGTCAATAGCTCCTCTTTATTGTGCTCCTGAATTTCGAGGTAAGTATTTATTTGTAAATGGTCGCTACACCAATTTACATATTGCATTGTAGTCATTAATGCAGGTTCTTGATTTTTACCAGTATTGTTAACTTTCAGACGTTTACTATTAAATTCCTTTAAGAAATTTTTTTGTCTAGATTCCAATTTCACTTGAATAGTTTCCTATTCTTGTAAAATCTTCGAACCTGGCCTAGAAAATTAAATTTTAGACACCTGAAACATCAATAACCTCTTCCTGGACATCGTCCTGTATGAAAGGCTTGTTCGGCACATAAATGTTGCTTTTAACAAGATTTTTAGAGAAATCAAAGTGGAATGCTAAGTTTGCATTTTATTAAAAGCTTCTTCATAGTCTTTCAATGCTAGAAGAGGAGGTGTGACACATTTGATGCAAAATTACTTTGCTGCTCACGGCGTCATTATAAGAATTTAACTTATGTAAAAATTGCACTTATAAGGGGAATTTGGAAGAATACAAAATCTTTGAGGAACATAAACGCAGCAATTCTACTGATCAAAATTTGACGAACCCCCCAATTTTGCTCAGACAGCTGGTCCTTCCCCTTTACCATGCACCGGAGCCACTACTACGGTAGAGCCCACTTTCGCCCTTTACTGCTGTTGAAAACCGTGAATTTAGTGCAGCCTCGTCGATTAGAAGTTTTAACCTCTATGTTGCTAGCTTTAAGTCAATCCTCTCCTGGTTTCATTAGTCATACATAATAAAATGTATTACTGCTCCTTACTTAGTGTCTCTGTTCCCTTCAACTTTATAAAGCTAATAGTCTTAAGATAGAAAATTTGTAGAGATGATAGCGAAATAAGGGGAAAAAGGGTAAAGGAGAGCGACCATCTTATCACCCCGCAAAGAAGAGATAGTAACTTTTGCGGATAACCTGTAAGTTAAGAGCAGGTTTTTAAAATTAAATAATAACTTGGCGCTAACCAAGAACTTGCACCGTAGAGACAAATAAATAACCTCCAGTAAATTCAAGTAGTCAAAGTTTTTAAGTAGAAACCTTAGAGAATTGCTCTTTAAATATTGTTAAGATACACTAATCATAATAGTTGAGACTTCAAACTGCATCTTTTGCTTAGTTTATAGAGGATACAAATATCAATGCTTAACCCAATAAACCCTCAAGTCTGCGAAAAGAAATAAACATAAGGATAAACGTGGATAAGTATAGAATGAATATATGATATATATAAAGAAAATGTAAAGTAAACAGTTAAAAAACCTAGAATATAGAAAACGCAGAATTATATTTTGTATTCACCTTGATTTCCGTTCTCATTTTTCGTCTTTGATACTAAATGCTTATGTTTTATTAAACTCCCTGCGTGAGACATTTAAACAGCTTAAAGTTTTAAGAGAAAGGCACAAGCTATACTAGCTAGTTCAAGCTCGAATAAACGCGCAAAACTATCTTTATTTTGTATAGCAGCTGATCCTGTCGTGGTAGCAGATGGACCAAAGGTGATACGAGCTTTTTGGAAAAAAAAAAGGCGACCCCATTAAAAATTCCAGTAAAACAGGCAAATAAAAATGACTTTCTAAAAAATAATTTTAAAAAGAAAAGCTTCAAAAAAATTAGTAATTAGGAGTTGTGGACAATTTTTTTTTTATAGGTCACCAGTTGGTCCCGCGAGGATAAAAATTTAGTTTTTAAGTTAAATAATGACTTTCATGTTAGATTAAAATAAAGTGGACTTTTCAAAATTTTATGGTAAAAAGCTAACTTTAAAAATTTTTATATTTGTATTTTTTTTGCTTATACTTTAAGTGTTCTATAAAGATTTATTTCAACTAAAAAAAAAAACAGAAGTTTCCTTGAACTTTATTAGTGGAAAGATAAATCCTTTTTTATTAATTTTGATTAAAAAAATTAAATAATTATGAAAATTTTATTTGTCATCTTAAAAAAAACTTTTTGTTTCAACAGAATAAATAATTAATACACTGATTTAATAATAATTCAAGAATGAAAGAATAAAAACCTTTTAGTCTATGGAAAACCAAGTAGAATTTCCATGCCAACAAATTTTTAGGTTAATTTTATAAATTCATAAATTAAATTTGATAAATTTACTTTGCATCTTTAGAAGTAAGGGCAAAGAATGTTTGAGTGACGGTATCCAAATGCCTACAAAAATATAATCACTAAACAATTGCAAAAAAATTAAACTAAAAAAAAAAATTATCAATAGTTAATTTAAAATAAAACCAACTCAAAATTAAAAGTTAAGTAATATTAAATTATGTAAGAATTAAAATTAGTGTTTAATAAATTAATTGTTTACTTTTTTCTTATAATTTTTTCGTAGATAGCTTTCTCGTATATGTTAATATTATATATACATTATGTAAAGTTTATATATGTCTATTTAAACATCTAGTATACATACTTTTTATTTTTTAATTTAGTTTTTGTTTAATTATAATTTATATATATATATATTAAGCTTACTTTCTTGTGCATACTAATAATACATATATATTATGTAAAGTTTTTACATATTAATCTATGCATAAGATTCCATTTTGAAATTATATTGCTTATAAAAACTCAGTACCTGTAATTTTTCGGAAACCCTAGTAGCAAGTAAGCTCATCTTTCATTCAAGAGGTTGACATACTGGCTTCCAGTAAAATCTTACCTTTAAAGGTTCCACCATTATAACGCTCTTGACCCCTTAAGGGGAAGACTCTGGGGCTAAAAATGAATTTGTTTTTTCTGCGAAATCACATCCTATGTTGAAACGATACTTTATTGTCCAAAAGTCCAATATCTCAAAATTTGATTCTATATACCCCAAACTAATATTTACATACCTAGCTAACCAAAAATAAACTTCTTACACCCAGAACTTTTTTTATCCAATTGTCCAATAAAAGATCGTGCGAAACTGCCCAACGTAATGTTTACTGGTAACTAAATTTACCTCTTTTTTGTTTTGTTGGTTGCTGCCTAATTCCTTTAGAACATGGTACTCAAAGTTACCAGAGCTTATTTCAGAGACCGAGCCTGTCGTTATGGGCCAATTTCCCATAGACCTACTCTAGACAATTGGTAAGCATAGGTGCAGAAAATAATTCTATTAACGTATTGCTTTAGGGCGCAATACGTTAATGCAACGGTTCATTAAGATGGAAGAAAAGAAAGAAAGTAGGACAACCTTTAGCCCAACTTTAACCTTTATTCCGGTTAAAAAATCAATGGGAATAAAAAATATATTAAAGTTATTACAAATTTTATTATAAAATAATAAACCTATATAAATAGCACCACACGTTTATATGAGACATAAAGGCAATGCCACTGACGAGGTAGTTGGGGGTCATCATTCACGTTAAGCTTAAACTTTTTTTTTATCCTTTACTTTCTGCCAGAAGCAAACTCTTTGGACAAAAAGCAAACACTTATATGTACTATGTATCCGACCTAGCATAAACATACGCTTCTGCTGCCGGGACTTACGACTCCCGGCGATGGTCCTTTCGAAATTCACTTAAGACAAAACGGTATACTACGGCTCATACGGGCACTTAGTAATTTGTGCAAACGATGAACCATACAAAGACCTCCAATTAAACAAAAAAAAATAAATTATAAATATTGTTTTTCTCGAAGCTTAAGTGCTTGACTACAAATTTTCAACCTAACGCTTTTACCACTTACGGATATTCTTACTAAGCCTATCAATTGATAATAAGAGGGGAGCTCAGTTAAGAATCGGGGCAGGGCACGCTATCGCCAGTCACATAATACAAAATTTTGTAGTATTATAGATATCAGGACTAAAGGTAAAAAGATAGATACCTTATATATAAAATTGCTTTAACGCAAGTTAAAATCTAGTTTGTAAGCTATCATCTTTTAGAGAGTTCGTAAATTAACAGTTTTTTTTTTTCCGACGGAGCACCAGAAAATACCATTAAAAAAAAACAAAATTAGTATAAAATTAAAAGGGAAAGGGTGTAACACTTTGTCGTCTCCTTCTCTATTTCCAACCCCTTTGCCCCCCGACCATTCTGCTTAACTTTTTTTTACTTTTACTCACACGCATAAGTGCAATTGAGTGAGCTTGAGTCGCGTTTAACGGTGTTAATACTAGCAATAGTATAAGACACTGTTGGATGACCTTGGCTAGCTAGTAGTTAGTTTGATCGTAGGGCCCAGCAGTGCTGGTTCCTATACTAGGAATAGTCTGGTATAGTAGCAGCATTATGGTTGGCTTCGGGCCAGCTGTGGGCTGGGTGCACCTTCTTGGGTCTTTGATCCTTGGGTTGCATTCGGTTCCGGTTGGCTCGCTGCTGTTTTCCGTAGTGCTTGTTCCTATGCTATATTGAGCCTAGTATAGTACTGGTACTGTTGGAAAGAGTATTGTCAGTTAGTATTATATATAAGTATATACGCGCGAGCCCTTCGTTTATTCTTATCAGGGGCGGATGGCTTCCTTAATCTCTATTCTATACTGTTCTTGTCACTTTTAATTTAAATAAATATAAATATGTATATATACTAATGACAATTATCATTTGGTACAATGCCCTTCCATCTTCATAGAGGGTAACAACCTCTCTTCGGTTCGTTACATAGGAAGAGTGAATTTCAAACCGCCTGGAGTGTAATTAAGACTGAATGACCATAGGGGTGTTTAAATTATCAAAACGACAAGAAGTGGACGCTTACCTAAAAGGAGCAGTAATCACTTATAAAGTTATCAAGTCTTTTATTAATCCTTCAACTAACAAGAATGTATTCATACGTTTTGTAAACTGCATTACTGGACAGCCTAGAGTTTGTTATATATTCAATCCTTTTTTAACATGGTCGCACTCAAAGGAGGGGCCTATATTAGGGCCTGCCTCTTGCTCGATGGACATAAATCGGGTTCATTCATATCCTTTTAATATCACAGCTTATCATGACGTAGATATATGTACTTACCAGTTGAAGGGTTTAAGAGAACATATTGATTCCATTTTATAATATATAGGCCCTCAACTATTTTCCACCTTCGTACAAACTAAATATTTTCGCGGGTAAGGCGAACTCGAACCGGAGTACATCGAACTCTTAATCTGTTGCATACCATACTCCGCTATGCCAAATAGTGACCCCCACCCTTTAGAGCGCAGGTAATGACTTGTTACACTAATAATTTTACCCGGGGCTTGTTGGTCAGGGTAAAACTACGACTACAACTATTTCTAAACTCGGTCGAACATCTGGAAATAAGGGATAAAAGAACGCTGTTGCTGAGGATTTCTTGAAAGTTTTTTATTATATTTTAACCTTAGAAATCCTGCCTTTATTACGTGTAATGTCCTTACTATATTACACCCAAACTATTTATTCGTAGTTGTAAAAAGTGTAAAGTTCATTAATATTAATTTGGTTACTTATATATATATTTATAAGCAAGGGATAGCCCACAGAGTTCATAGACAAGGGACAAAGCAGATGTGTTTAAGAGAACTAAGGATTTTATAATTATTTTAAAAGTTGGAGTGCTACAGTCAAACTGTATAACGTCCTTTTACTGCTTAAAACATATTTTCTATGTAGTAAGGGACGAGGAAAAAAGGTTAACGACAACAATAATCTACTGAAAACTTTATATTGCGCCGCTCGTCTGTTATATTAAAAAGAGCACGACGAGCGTAGTAAACTTTAATAAAGCTTGTGGATTCTTTGCAGAAAGAAATTTTTACATGTCTCCAACATTCTGGATTCTTCCTTAAGCGTGGACAAACAATTACGAAAAGTAGTCACTATTAATATACTATAAATAAGCTAACTTTGCTTTATATATATTAATGAAAAAAGTGCTTCAAAAAATTATATTGAAAAAAGATCTTTTCGCTTTATAAAAAATTGATATAACTTTTATTTATACAGAAAACGATGCTGGTGTTACACTATAAATTTATTGAGGTTCTTCCTTTCTTTTATTCAATTTTTTTTTATAAAAATCAGTCTGGCTTTATATCGAAAACCTCGTTATCATCTTTATAGTACTTGTTAATAATTTTTTCTATTTTACGATAAAATAGATCATTTTAATTAGTATAATAAAAACTTGATTATTATTTAATTTAACTCTCCGCTAGTAACATCCACGTCCCGTGCCCAAGTGAAATGCCTTAAAGCTCTATAGGCTATAGGTACGTATAATATATGATTGGGTGTTGTACTTAATCCGTAAGCTAGAGCTTTTTATACACGTTAAAATTCCTTTAAGAAGGTAAACAGTAGGCTCCTGTGGCGTGAGTTCCAACAGTTTATCCAAAGTATCGAGAGCAGACTTTCATAGCAATAAAAAAAAGTTTCTGCGTTAAAAGAAAGCTCACATCCACCCTGGTGATGACCCCTTTCTGTTCGCGAATTCCGCCTTTTAAATAAAGAGTCACTGCGTTTTCAGGGTCCCCCTTTAGCGAACTATTATAGGCTGATTTCGCTGCAATCCGCAAGCATTTTCAAGTATGCACGCTTGCAGCTGAGCGTGATATGCCTGCCTATAAAAAGTTTCAGCAAAAACCTTGAACTATTTTTATTATAAAGGAAATTTAAAATTGTAGGCTTTATAAAAAGTTTTATAATGACGAAAATTTTTTTTTAATGATATTTGGCTTTGCTGTAAAAGCAATGCTATAGAAGAGTGCCACGTAAAAAAAATTAACAAGTTAAGAAAAACTTTTGTAATGATAATTATCAGTTGATTTCCACTTAAACGAATTATTATTTTTATTATTACTGGAAAAACTTCCGCCTAAAACCTTTTGTATTTTGTTCATATTGCTAAGCGGTCTAAACTGATACCAGAAAGTATGAAAAAGGCTCCTAGTGGCTCAAATTAAGATGAATTTCAAATCAATAAATTCCCCCCTCCCCTTCCTCCCCCACCTGCCGCCTCGTGCGAGGGCCCAACCAAGCGTTGTAGTGGCGGGAATCCTGGTGGACTGCCGAATGGAAATGCCTGGCTGCTTTCGAGAGGTTATTCCTCTGCGACTTATTCGTGTCCGAGAAGAGTATACGCGTAAGCAAAGTTCAGGTTTACCTTATAAAGAAAATAATAATAGTAATAATAAACTTGTGATGAACCGAAAGTACTTGTACTGCTCCATCCATAAACTTCAAAGCTGCCTCGTGGCCTTCCTGCGCATTGAAGCAGTTTCCTTAATAATAGGTAAATACCCTTCAACAACTAGAAGAAAAACATCCAGCGAGTCGACCGCGCCGCCGGAAACTTTTGAGTCACATGGTGAATCACGTGATGAGGAATGAGATGATTGGCTCAGGGTGAATGCAGGGGACACACGTTTTCGCTGTTAACTTTCTATAGAAAAAAGATTCGAATAGAAAAAGGGTAGTGACCTGCAAGAAAAAAACAAACAATAGGCCATCGCTGCTCGCACTCAACACTACAGTACTTGTATTAGCAGTAGTACTAATACTTTTCCTATAGGTTTGCTTATCGTTTATTACTACTATTAATACTGTGAATGGACGAACACCTGTTAAAAAGAAACTTTTGGGTGCTTTAGTTTCCGAAAACAGCTTAAAAGTAATTATGAATGTTTATTATTATTAGTTTAACAATATTTTATATTATTATTTTGATTATAATTTAAAATATTGTTAAACTAATAATAAAGTTGTGCATAAAAATCTAAAGCTGACCGTTTAGCTGGCGCAAAATATATTCGGCTACTGGTGAATGAATTGGAAGCAATATATATATATATATAATTTGAACCAAATTCACTCGTCCACTGGTATAAGGCGCTTTATTTTTTTTCGACTGGCTGCAAGGAAAGTTGGTCTTCAAAAAAACTTTTATTATAAAAAAATCATAAAAACTGCACTTTAAATACGTTTATGTACTATAAAATAATTGTAATAAACTTGAAACTGTTGTGAATACAGTAAACGCAGTAGAAATTTTTAATATAAATCAAAAAAAATTATTTCAATAAATTAATTATAATAAAGTAACTAAAAAATAAAGAAAAAATATAAATTTAAATAAATTTATTATTTATAAAATTCAAATTGTATATGTAATTAAAAATATATATTAATTAAATTATTAGTAAATGAAAAATTAATTATAAAAATAAATATAAAAAAGTAGTTAAAGAATTAAACCAAAATTAAATTATTCAAGTAATTAGATAAATAAAGTATTAATAAATAATTATTTAAAAATTTCAATAGTAAATAAAATAAAATTTTTTGTTAATAATTTAAAGCAACTTAAAGCATTCCGATTAAATTTTGATAATTAACTTTTTTATTAAAAAACTTACTTTGAGTGTAAACTTTAACGAAACGAAACAAAATTAAACACAATCAAATTTTCAATTTTTTAATAAATCTACTTCCCTGAATTATTTTGTAAAATTCTAAATCTTAAAAATTACTAATAAAATTATTAATTAATTAAAAAAAATTAACTCTAAAATAAATTATTTCAAACTTTTGAACGCTTTACTTGATCACTTTATAAATTTTAATTAGAATGAAGAGAATTAGTTTAGTATATAAAATAAATAAAAAATTAAATTTTTGGTAAAAAAAATACTTTTATATGGAAAAAAACCTTCGATTGCGGCCGATAAAGGAGTGTTTAAAGTATTTTCAGATCTACTAAAAAGTATTAAAGATTTCATAATTTATACCAATTATAAATTTTATAGTAAAGTGCATTCCGGTTAAAAATAGGCAAATTTACAGAGTTCAGCATTAATAAAATTGTAAGCTGATAATTTCGTAACATTTATATAATAAAGTTTTATAGGAATTACTTATAGTATCATATTATCTTATCAATAAATATATTTACAGAGAAAACAAAAAATTTATTAGATAAAATAAATTTGTGGAATTTGGAAAAAATTAAAAAAAAAATAATTTACAAGTAGTAAGAAAAATATACAATTTATAAAGTTAACCAAAAATTTAAATTATAGAATTAAATTTAGAAACAGGATTCTTTGAATAAGACCAAATTTAGTATAATTTGGACAAAGTATAAATAAAATAAATGGAGAGTTCAATTTAAAATATACAAGTTATTAACATAGTAAATATAGATTCATAGAAATAGAAAATAAAAGCAGAATTCATTAAATAAAACCAAAATTAGTAGAATTAAAAAAAAATAAAAAAAATTTGCAAGTTAATTTTAAAACATACCTATTATATAAATAATAAAATAAATTAAAAAATTTAGTTAAGAAATATTTATCGAGCAGATACAAACAAGTTTACAATATAAAAACATACAAATGATTGACTTTGTCCAACGAGAATCGCTGAAATGGTATGCTAAATACAGTGAGCACTCAAATTAGTACTCGACTTGTTATTGCTATAAAAATTAAAATGCTTTTCCCTAAAAGTTTATGCTTTTGTGTCGTAAAATTAAAAAAAAAAAATTACAGACCAAAGTGGCAAAGTTAATAAACTGCAGGTACATGTACGAGTTCTTGTTTGAGGCAAATTACGTAATCTAGACTAGCTTCAAGAATTCTGCATCCAAGGCTGATAGTAAAAAAAATTAGTATATAACTCATAAAAAAGACCTAAAAAAAGAAACCAAAAGATTAAATTTTTTTTTTGAAACAAAATAAAAACATCTTTATTTTAATTTCTCCCGCTAACTTATAAAACAAGGAAGGCAAAAAAAAAAGACTTTTTCGTTTCTTCACCTTCAAGTAAAGAAATTAAAAAAACCTATTTGCCTTCCTATAAATATTAATCAGTAAAAAAGTTTTCTATTTTAAAAATAAAAAATTATTTTATTTATATTTATAACTCTTAAACGCAATAATTTGACGCATGTATAAGCAAAAAAGTAGCGAGATTCAGGAGAAAACGCCGGAAAATAGCACTTTATATGCCTGTCCATATTTCTGAGAGCCCAGATAACAACAGCCAAGAAGGCGTAAACTTTCTTCCTTACAAACTATGGCGAATAAATATAGTAAAAAACGTATACACTATTAGCATTACATTTTACTAAATACAGTACTCTAAAACTAAAAGGAAATAAAATGGTTATACCTATTTAAAAATTAATTCTTACTAAAGCTGTTATAGTAAAATCTTTATAGCCCAGAGCTTCCTTTTATTTTAAATTTAGATCTAAAATCGAATAATTTCTAATAGTGAAGGTATATACTTTCAGCGTGGAGGATAGTAGCCAGATATGTACCACTATCTTACCGATAAGAATCAAGCAATAAGTGGCTTTTCTGAAAAGGAAAGGAGACTGCCTCTTGATCAAAAACACAATTTTTATAGGTGATCGAAGGGTTTCTATGAGGAGAACAAAATGGAAGATTGCTCACAGAAAAGCTATTTAGCTACAAAGTAGTGATAAGATGAAGACGATGATGTTTATAATAGAAGAACTTCTCTTAAAAAAGTTAATCTATTTTATTGCTAACACTTGTAATACATCAGACTCGCTTCCAAGGGAGTCACTTAATAAAACATCTGGAAAAAAAAAAGTTGTTTAACTTTATTTGCAGGATCCTTTGTATTGCTCTTCCTGCATGTATATTTATTATTTTTCCTGCATTATTTGAGGTTGTTAGTACTAAGAGCATAACGTTTCTTTAAAGTAAGGGTTTGTAAGGTATTTTAACGCTATCTTCATAATTTAAAGGTATACATAATATATTTACTAAGTTTACTATTTTTTAAATGTATAATATGCTAATTTTAATAATAGAGCACGATTAGTACATAGTGATTATTTTAAAAGGTATATACATTATATGAAGGATAATATTCAGGATTACCAAGAATTTACTTATTTTTTATAAAGGAAGCTTCAATTATTTATATAAATTAATAAATTTTAAAGTTTGTTTTTGTTATAAGAGCACCATAACCATAGTTGTGTTATTGAAAAGATTATAGTTTCGCCTTTGTATAGCTGTTAATTTATAGTGCCTAAGTCTCATAACCAAAAGAGTTCTCTTTAGCCTGAAAACTTTGTTTAAATTCAGCTCTTTCGAAAATTAGTGTGCTTTTTTAATATTAAAAAGTCTCCAAACGGTTAGCTAAAGTATTTTAAACATAGATAATAACTATGACCCACCTAGTTATAAAAAAAAATTTCTCAGTCAGTTCTATTAATACAAATTTTTTAAAGTTAAAAATTCAGTTGAGTCTTGTCAGAATTACTTTTACCATGATATAACATAAGTAATCTATTTAAGACAATAAGACAAGAGAATTATTTATTATTTTCAAAATTTTAATAGCGGGAATGGGTGTAAAGTTACTAGGATCTCGCTATCAAATGTTTCTGTGAAAAAAAACGAAATTTGTTAATATGAATTTTTCCTACAAAGCTTATATATGAAAATCAATGACTATTTGGAGAACAAGCCGAGATGGTGACCGCTGCCTCTTACAAATTGTTAGACATATTTTGTTTATTACTTCTCTGCCCGAAAATATGTTGAAGTTAAAAAATTGACCTATTGCTTTTTAAATGCATCAATATTTATATTAAATATTTATTTGTATTTTTCTAACTCCAGGAACCCAAATTACAGTTAAATTTTTATAATGAGTCAATTATTTTGAAAAACTAATGTTATAATTATGTTCATAACATTTAGATTGGTTACACACTAATTATAAAAGACCACTCTACCACCAGTTTGCAATATCTCACACCTTCCGCTAGATCACTGCTACTAATTAAAAGAGAATGTTAAGGTTAATTTTTTGAAAATATAAACAGAAAAAATCTTGTAAATATTACAACTTTTTTGGTTCAGATTCGATTTTTAATAGTAACTAATAAAAATGGAGAGATGTAAGAAATTTTTAAAAATTAAGAATTTCTTTTCAGTAGTTTTTAATTTTGTTTTCAAAAAAAAGTATGTGTTATGGTTTACCAAAAAACCTTCTACCGTGTTTAAAGGCTATAATAATATAGAAAATTACTTAAACTCAGTTTTTTATTCTACATTATTTAGTAAATAATATAGTTTATGTACGCTTATATGGACAGCAACTATTAGTATTTTTAGTTTATAAATTTTAGATGAAACAATATTTTGTTTAAGTGAGAAACTACTTGATTGGCTTACTTTTAGCTGTTGGGACATTAATTAAAAAAAAATTTAGTGCTAAAGCTTTGGACCAGCCAGTTACTAAATTAGACGTCCATAATTAGAGTTATTCAAAATTAATGATTTCAATTTAAAAGCAGGGGAGTGGTACTTTATACTATGAAAACCTAAAATTAATAAGCTTAATGGCATTCACCATTTTTTAAAAATATGTAGGCTAAAATTAGAAAAGGGTCTAAAATTATGCTTAATCATTTACTATCTAGAAAATATGTCCTCTAGGTCTAGAAGGCCGTTAGTACTGTGAGGTGTCATGGTCTCCTATAACGGAGTAAGCACCTGCGCCATAGGTTATGTCTTGAACAAATAAATCGTTGGGATGAGCTAAATATTTATCATAATCTACAGTAAGCGACGAAAATATTAAGGAAGCATTTCCAACTTAAGGTCACTATACGTGTGAGTACCCCGGACTAACATCATAAATTACGTAGATAATCATTTGTTAAAATGCTGACTAACTCGAAGCATTAATTGCGTTGTTTCTAATTAGCTTCGTAATAACTTCAATTTCATAGCCTCAAGTGCAGATGCATATTTTACAAACCACGGGGGAGCGAGGGTACTTTGTTTCCGAGCAAAACTTTATAAAAGTAGTTCCAAGGGAAGGATGCATAAGAAAAGTTTTAATAACAGCCTCTTACAAGATTAATTTGTTAAAGGTTAAGTGCACTACAGTTGCAAATAAACTTTCATAAAGTGTGCGTGTTACTTTAATTTTAACAAAGTATTTTTGTGAACGGTGAATTTTTATTATCTCTTATGACTCCGAGCTATAATTTTGATTATACATCAAGTATAGATGTGAGGTAGGAGGACTCTTAATTTTTTTCATTAGCTTTTAAAAAAAGCATGTTTTACGCGGTAAGAGGAGAAATGTCAGATACATATAATTAAAAAAATTGCTTTTTTTTAGGCTAATGTACCTTTATTATGACTCATTTACATCCACTTAGGCTCTCATCTCTTTAAAAGTTGCAGTTAATCAAGTTAAACACAATAATATCTTATTTTAATAAATTTTTAAATTCGTTATTAGGTTATTTAACTTAATTAAAATTCTGAAACCTAATTTTCTTGTTATAACTCTTCAGCTTGTAAGTACTTTAAACTTTATTTACAAGTATGCCTATATTTTTTAACCAATTTCTTTATTATAGTAGAACTTAAAATTTTAATTGACATGCAGATATTCGCTTTTTATGATTTTATGTATTACTTCTAAATGTCCTTTAGATTAGAATTAGAACTCTTTTAGTGAATTACTATGCATTCCACAATTAAAAAATTTCTTGGGTGGTATGTCTAAGGCCTGGCTTGCCATTTATCCTAATAGATTGCGCTCCCTCGTAGCACACAATAAGTGCACGTGATTAGTTCGCCATTTTTGGCCGATTATTTACAAATATATACACCAGTTTACACGCTAAAGGAGAAACCCGGGTCGGGTTTATTTTCTTCATGGTCTGTGTACCCCTTTCTTGCTACGGGGTTCTATTCTAGTTTGTTAAGCCCGTATGATTCGTTTTATTCTGCTCTAGCGATTTTTGATTTGTTTATGTTTTTTCATTTTATTGTCTCAAAATTAATAAAGTCTTATTCATTTACCTATTGAATATTATTCTTATATTTAAAGCCCACCCATCTTCATAGAAGTGACATTACCTTTTGGTGAGTAATAGTATGCTGTTTTAAGGTTTTCATACGTTCCTTAACGCGCGCGCATATTATTAAGTTTGTAACTAGTAAGATTGGCTTTTATATTCCGTGTACACTCAACAATTATTATAATTTTAGTCATTAAAGTGAGCTTTATACACGACTTTTCCCTCTTGATAGACTCAGAGTCACGAGGGGATGAATGTAAGCTTGATTAAAACTACTGTCAGTAGTAAACTGTTAAACTGTCTAGTCCCTAACCCTTGGAGATAAAACCGATCAGGGTTAAGATTATAAATTATTAGAAAAATATATTAATTTTTAACGTTTCTCATTTGTTTGTATTTTAAAAAACATTATAACTTTAGTCTAAGTTTGAGGTCAAGGAAGCCCTATAAAGTAAAAGTTAAAACACTGCCTATATTATTTTTAATAAATTTTTTATTATAGTAAATGATAGATAAGCAGGTTCTTTTTTGGTTAAGCTCTACGTCAACTTAGAAGATTAATACATCAAGCCTCACCCAAGGGGTAGTTGTAGCCCTGGCTCACTACTAAAAGTAATGACAATGAAACCACAGCCGTGGCTTTTTTTCCGGTCGTTAATTGATGGGGATTTAAGCTTCCAGGAATAAATTCTCATACACCCTTTTTAAGTTGATAGTATCAATTTTAATGTGTTCATATTTAGAGCGTTAAAAGTTTTTAGCTCAAAGACTTCTGGGCCCAAGAGTCGTTTTCACTATTTATACTTTCTCTTTGATTTTGTATTACTTTTCATGGTATACATTATTAATTATCAAAAAAAAAAAAAAACTATAAATGTTTTATATAAATATTACTACTCTTTAGTTATTAATCTAATATTACGATTGGGCACACGTTATCACCTCGAGCACCTAATTTTGTTTTGCCCCTGAAGTCAACTCTTCGATAGAAGACTTGCACCCAGTAAGAAGCTCCTCGATTCTTGTTAGCACATCATACATCTCTTCCCATGTCTCGGTTTTAACCTTCTTCTCTTCTAAGTTTCCTTCGTAGTTTTATTAGCTAATTCTTTGTTCTTTTTCAGATATTATTAAATCTTATAAATAAATTGTACTTTATAGTCTATTTTACACCTTTATTAATCTTTTATTTTTTCGTTTGTAACTTTTAGTGCACTTCATTATCTTCCTGGAACTTGACGGCTTTTTAAGTATATATAGATTTCCAATTTATGATTATTTTATACTTTATTCCGTATAATCCTAGTTTATTTGTTAAAATAATGAAAATAATGAGAAGTTAACTCTACAGAATACTTGTTTAATCTGCCACTAAGACATCAAATAAGCCTCAATATTAAATAGCTTTAAAACCTTTATAAAAAATTTACAGCGTTAATTTATTGTTATTACCTTTGTGTTTTAT